AATTAGCAAGCTATGGAAAAGATACCAACAAATCCATAATGTTGACGGTCGACTCCGTTCAGGTTGCCACCTGGGGTCAAAAGGAGGACGGGATAGATTGATACGAAACCAGGCTCTACGAAATCTAACTAAAATTGTCAGGCTACTGGAGTTCAAAATACGGGTCAGACGATTCGAAATCTTTTACATGCATATCCATACTCTGTTGAAAAATGTTGTGTCGGCCTTTACAAATTGTTATATTGCCATCAGGCCTCAACAGTGCACACAACGTCGAAACTGGGGTTATCGTCGCCGATCACGTGTCACAACTATCAACGCCATAGCTATAGACATCCGACCTATTTGGTTTGCCTGGCTGAACCTGGCAATTGGGAGACTCGTACACAGAATGCCTCGTCGAGTAAATGAATGTTTGACAAACCGTGACGGTATCACGCACTCCTTATGCAAAAACGTAAACTTTGAAAATTTTCCATCTTACATGTACATGTACCTCTATCGTCCTTCAATTCGTAGGGGGTCATAACGTCTACTGTTATACTTCACTATCAGACTTTTCTGTCTACCTTAATTCAGGGTATGAAACTCAAAAAAATTTCAGCCAGACCACAGGAGTGGCTAGCTGAAATACTTGCAAGCCCTGACCAACAAAACCTGCCTGCCCACTATAATCATATGTTTCTCAGGATAATTTAATTAAAACTTTAAATCAAATTCATTGAACATGAAGTAATGCAAGAAAAGAAATAGCAAACACTTGTTAGGTTAGATTTGTATTTATTATATCTTAGAATACATCATGTAAATAATGCTTATCATCCGGAAATATTTAAAATATTTTTACATATGAATATAACCCGACCGTCGGGCAGGGGGATTTGAAAATCTGACAGCCCGAGTTGAAATCAACCCGTCTCGGACCGTCGGGCAGGCAGGTATTTCGAACACTGTTCAGGCTGAAAGTACAGTGATATATATCGGAGCTGCCTGGCTTAAGTTGAGTAGAGTGTTGTATTATGTGGTTGTCTGTCTTCTTGGGATAAAATTGGTGTATATAGGGGATGCCTGTATTCAGTGGAATGCAGTTCTGCATATAGGAATGGAGTTTTGTATAGGGGCTGTTTGTCTTTACTTGAGTATGGTGATGTATACCGAGGGTGGCTGTCTTCCGTGGAGGACTTTGTTGTATATCGAGGTTGCCTGTTTTCCGTGGAGTAATGTGTTGTATATCGAGGTTGCCTGTCTTCCGTGGAGTACAGGGGGCACGGGTGGCCCAGTTTCCGCGATTCGCTGTGCAGATATTCGTCCCTTGGGCACGCCAGATACCTATGAGTACAGTGTTGTATATCGAGGTTGTCTCCGTGGAGTAAAGTGTTGTTTCTCGAGGTCGTCTGTCTTCCGTGGAGTACAGTGTTGTATATATCGACTGATTGTCTTCACTTGAGTACAGTGTTGTATATCGAGGTTGTCTCCGTGGAGTAAAGTGTTGTTTCTCGAGGTCGTCTGTCTTCCGTGGAGTACAGTGTTGTATATAGGGACTGATTGTCTTCACTTGAGTACAGTGTTGTATATCGAGGTTGTCTCCGTGGAGTAAAGTGTTGTTTCTCGAGGTCGTCTGTCTTCCGTGGAGTAAAGTGTAGTATATAGGGACTGATTGTCTTCACTTGAGTACAGTGTTGTATATCGAGGTTGTCTCCGTGGAGTAAAGTGTTGTTTCTCGAGGTCGTCTGTCTTCCGTGGAGTAAAGTGTTGTATATAGGGACTGATTGTCTTCATTTGAGTACAGTGTTGTATATCGAGGTCGTCTGTCTTACGTGGAGTAAAGTGTTGTATATATCGACTGATTGTCTTCACTTGAGTACAGTGTTGTATATCCAAGTTGGCTGTCTTCGATGGAGTACAGTGTAGTATATTGGACTGATTGTCTTCACTTGTGTACAGTGTTGTATATTGAGGTTGCCTGTCTTCCACGGAGTACAATGTTGTATATAGGGACCGATTGTCTTCACTTGAGTATAGTGTTGTATATCGAGGTTGTCTCTCTTCCGTGGAGTAACGTGTTGTTTCTCGAGGTCGTCTGTCTTCCGTGGAGTAAAGTGTTGTTCATAGGGCTGCTTGTCTTCACTTGAGTACAGTGTTTTATATCAAAGTTGGCTGTCTTCCATGGAGTACAGTGTTGTATATAAGGACTGATTGTCTTCACGTGAGTAGTGTTGTGTATCGAGATGGTCTCTCTTCCATGGAGAAAAGTCATGTATATCGAGATTGTCACTATTCCATGGAGAAAAGTCATGTATATCGAGATTGTCTCTCTTCCGTGGCGTAAAGTGTTGTATATCGAGGTTGTCTGTCTTCCGTTGAGTAGTGTTGTTTTTAGAGGCTGCTTGTCTTCACTGAGTATATGGAGGTCTGTCTTCCGTGGAGTAGTCTTGTATATAGACAAGATTCCACTGGATGGAAAAGGCAAAACAGGGAAGAACATTATACAATGGATCACGGAAATTCATTGTAAGAAACCTGGAAGTAATGCATTTCGAGATAGAGATGTGTTTATGGATTGATGTACATATACTGCTGTAACAATGTGATAGTATATTAAACGATAGAACTTATATTATTATAAATCAACTGCATATATGATGTGCAACACTTGAGTGGATTGTGCTCGTTTGCTCTGTCACGAGTGGCAGAGCTGACTAGAGATTGTCATATTTTCCAAGCCAAGCATTATCATTAATTTTGTGTTTTTCATCCACAAATATTGCGGTTTTAATGAATACGAAATTGGGAATCTTTCAAGAAGGGGCGATAACTCTATTCAGTTTGTACACTTAATTCTCCTTAACATTTATTACTTCAAAATTAAAAACTGTATCATACACAAGCACGGAAGCACGTCCCGCGCACTCACTCACACACATTTCATATGAAATAGAACAATTATCACTATTATAATATGTCGAAAATACACCCGGACCTGATAATATTATGATTAACATGTATGATTAATAAACATATGGAGGATATAATTATAATTATCCTGAAATGTATGAATATATCTTGATCAAATAGAGTTAGTAAACATACAGATGAAAAGGAATGTACTTCAGTTGTTTTAATTGTTGATGGAATGAGACAAAATCTAATATGAAATAATCAATACCTGTGCCTGAGGCTAAAGTGTGTGATATTTAATTTATGCTTTGTGGCATAATTTTGAGATCCAAATAAAAATTGCCTATTCTTCTTTGGTAAAAGTAGAAATTAATTGCATATATCTCACTGGTGAAGTTCAATATGTCAATTAAAAACTCAGTCATTGGAATATTTAAGGCAGCAATATGAATAAATTTAACTTGGCTTCTGGCATAGTTTCTACTTCTGCATGTTCTTTCTTTAGTATTGCACCTGAAGCCACCAATTGTAACACTATTCATATATACATCCACTGGTCATCCAAATCATAATTTCATAATGTTTCGATCCCTTGTATTAAAAAAATAACTATATGTGTACAGTATCAGACTTACAAGATTGATATATGTGAATAATGTTCATTACGATAATATAAGTTTAAGAATGTTTTAAATAAATAAACTCATTGTAAAATGACACCAAAACAATAATTGATCAAGACATCTGACAAACCCTTTTAGCGGGCTTAGAATATCTTGAGCATGTTCATGTTGTCTACATGGACTTCTTTAGATATTACGAATATAAACAATGTTATCTTACCCTAATTTCACAAATAAAATGGAATAAAATATTGGAGAAAATTTTACCACACAGCCTGTTGTGTCATTTATAAATATACAAAAGGTACAATTGGAAGTGAAAAAACTATTTGACTTAACATCACCCTCCCATCTCCGCCACTCAAAAGAGGAAAAAATGTTCTGTTTCCCATACATGTAAGAAATTACATTCAGAAATCAGTCAAATTATTATTATTTTGGCACCCTGTAAACCAAATAATAAAAATCAAGCCCAATGTGTAGAACAGCCAAACAAACACGCATTAACATTATGGTTGGGTATTAGTGACACGTGCAGCTATATAAAACAGTCTGGATTTCAAAACAGATAGTGGTATGTCATTGTACCAGGTGTCTTTTGATCTTAACTGAAAACAGAGTATTCTGTGTAAACAAAAGATGCATTGATTTAATAACATTATGTTCTGTCTGCCTCATTGACCATATTGTTTTCAGAGTAATATTTCACAATAAATAAGATGTGCATTTTCTTGCTCATTTGACGAGAAAATTGTTTCTTTATTTTTCGTTACTTCTGGTCTTGAATGAAATTTATTAATGATTACGCCACTTGATTTACAAAAGAAGCTTTCAAGAAATACGATAAGAATAATCAAACACTACTTATTGATGTTTTTTTTTCATATAATAAGTACAAATATTACTTAATGTATAGTAGCATGTACAGTCAATTATGCTTTTTACGACATGTGCTTGCATTGAAGAAATTATTTTATTTCAAAGTTTTTAAACAATATATTGTTGTACATAAAACAGGGATCACACCAGATTGGTTTCTGAGAACCTACATCAGTTTTCTTCAAACATTACTTACTTAACCGAATAATATGGTATCGTGCATGACAATACGAAAATATGTGAAATCTTTAAAATCTGTAGAAATTAAAAATCAAACAAAAAGGTATCAATATCATATGAAACCATCTTCCCGAGGAAAGGGAGTTGGCTGACGATAACATAACTTTCAACACCAGGCAATAATTTTGTGTCTCCTTCGTAGCGCCACCAGTCGCTTTTATAAGCTATTTCCCTTCTTGGTCCCCGCTATTGACCAATCAGATTCCGTCTCTCATATCACCTGCATTTGCTTCAACAAAATGGCGACGCCAAAATCAATCTGATCTATTAATCAAGCTCTTTATTTTCATAGAACGGGTCTTAATTCGCGATAGCATCAAATCATTTGAGCACTTTGATTAAAAACATGAAAAGATTTGGAAAATATCTAGATCTGTCGACGCCAAGTGGATGGCCCACATGCTCTGAAAATCGTGCAATTGACTGAAACTTGCACTGCAGCCGCCATGTTCTTTATAAATCGGTTGTCGAGTTTGTTACACGATTTTGATTTGACTTTGCATAGACTCGTTAGTCCAGCCAAAATGTAACTCCATAATTTCAGCCTAGTTCGGAATGTGAACTGTTATAGTCAGTTAACTCCTTTGCCTCGGGAAGATGTATGAGACAGAAGATATCTGAAACAGCCTCTTGAAGAAAGACCCTGAACTGATTATATGATAGATCATTAATACTAACATGGGGGATATTAATAGCATTACCCCGAACTTTATGAATATATCTTGATACAGCTAAAATAAAGATGAAAAGGAATCTTCTTCAGCCAGTGATCAAACCAAGAAAGAAGAAATGTATTAATTATATCAGTCGAATGAGACAAAATATAAACATAAATATTCAGTAAATCTAACTCCCTGTAAAAACGTAAATATATGTGATGTGTATTCATGACATCTCTTTGAAAGCCAAATATAAGTTCGCTTGCTGGGCAATATATAATTATTATAAAGAAAACAAGGTAGCAATCTGGATGTGTAGAAAATCTATGTATATTTAGATGGGTCGTGTCTCGTCTCTCGCCTAGTATGCCACTTGAGAGATAAGCCAAAACTTGCATGTACATGTGCATATGCTTTGATGATCCCTAACAGGTACACATTCCTCTGTTTCATAGACTGTGGAGCCTGTAGTTTACTATAACGTGACTACACTATTTCTCTTCTTCATTTTACAAGGACGACGGGTAAGCCATACTTACAAACCATGACACACTCAAACTACTGCTATGTTTTGTGTAGATGACGCGAATAGCCTTATGTGCCGTTTAATTTGTATTGCATAGGATGATAATTTATGTCCCTAATACATATTAGTGGCTTGTAATTGTAAGTCTTAGCCTGGGCCCACTTGCACGGATAGATGTCAGTGCTAAGATGAGCGCAAATCCAACACTTTAACAATCACAACTGAGCATGAGCACGAAAGGTCCAGTAGTCTGAGGCACTTCAGTTCACCATGTAGAGTTGCGTCCCTTGGGAAATCTAGAAACCCAGGACTGTAGGTTCGAATTACGCTTCGCTATGATTCCTTTCCATGTTTGTCAATGTGCTCGTGGGTTTTCCAAAGTGGTGAACGGGTAAACTTCAGAGACCTGCATCACGTCCGGATTTCCTTCCACATTGAGTTGAATGTGGCGTGATATAACTTGAATACAGTTCAAAGCGGCCGTGATCCATGCATGGAAACATGTCCATCTTACCATATTTCCTGTAAGTGCTGGAAGTACCAATGGCAAATGTGTAAAATTCCAGGTGTAGGCGCTCCTCGCTAATGTCAGTTATGTAGATTTTTTTCTGTTATCAGTGCACAGATCCAACGAAACGAGATAGCAAATGACAGAAGATTGTTGTGTTCCGATTACAATTGAACAGTTACTTCTTTCAGATGTATAGTATTGTTATGTATATGGTGCAGATGCAGTGATCATTGTGAAATACATTGACAAACTTCCACATTAGCCTGTGTAAAGTTTTATACACACAGGAAACAACAAGTCAGGCTTGAGCAGCAAAAACTTCCGGAACTTCCCTCTCGGACTGACAATTCCTTTCTTTATCTCTGTGTTAGGTGTGGTAGCGCTATTATAAAAACAATAACAACGATATCTTAAATTGTTTCATCAATATTTTATCAATTTAAATTCTTACCCATAAGACCAGGCTCACAATTAAGATCTTAAATGTCTCATTGTGGATTGTTTCTGAGCAAATACATAATCTGTGCGCTTTACATTGTCCACATGTATACATTTACATTTGATGCTTAACACATAATTCCCCATTGTCTCACTCTGCTAGCTTAAGCATACTTGGCCATAGTTTTAATACTTCATTTACGAACAGTTATCTGCCATTGGTTTGATCATTTTATGCATCTGTGGTACAAAACATACTGGTTTCTACTTATCTATAATGACGTACTTCTGTGCATTCCATCATGTAGATAACATTCATGTTTATGATTCTAAGTGATACTTTAGCTTCTAATCAACCAAGATACACAACCTGGTGCAGAGAGACTCTGGCGAAAGAACATGCATCATGCAGAAATTATCAGAAAGAACCTACCTTTACTCAAAAGTGACCTGCACCCAGAAGAGGTGCTTGACAGCCTGTGGTCTACCGGAGCATTCAGTGAGTTGGAGTATAGGAGCTGTAAAGAAGAAGACAAGAAACGAGCACAGACTGAAAAGCTGCTGGAAATATTGATGAAAAGGGAAGAGGATGTGTATAAACAATTCTGTGTAGTGCTACACGAAAACCACAGACACCTCAAAGAGCAGTTGGACAAAACAGCGAAACATGAAGGTAGACATTGTGAAAAAAACTATCTGACTTTAATATAACCTTACTTGAACACTCCTCCTACACCGTCCCCCTCCCTCTGTCCTCCCAAAGGTATTGAATGAGCTTGTTAAAATTGATAGAATTGACAGACCTTATGTTTTTGGCTTATTTAGTCACAGTGTGCATGTAACATTTTCGGTTTTGTTCAAGATTCTCCAAGCCTGGTATTTGTCAGTGAGACAGAGGTACAGGAGCGGGTGTCTGTAATGGAACAGAAGGTTGCTGTCTTGCAGGAGGTAGACATTAATTTTGTAATGGCCCTGGAGGTTTTATTCTTGTAGTAATTGTTTTGATAAGTTAACAAAGGTTTACTATTTTTAATTTTTAAAACATATTTTATGAAGGGGATTATTTGAGTGGCTGTTAGGTGTATATATACCACCAGTATGAGTAAACGGACCTTACATGAGACCAGATCCTAAAAATGCAACATTCGCTTCAAGGCACTAGATGATTCGAGACAAGAAGCACAACATACCAAGGCTGAATGGGAGAAGGATGTCAAAGAATTAAATGTGCAGCATGGACAGCAGGAAACATCTTTAAAGAAGGAAAATAGCATATTGTCAAAGCAGCTGGAGCAGGAGAAGAACAGGACGAAAGCGGGTAAGACATCATGATACAAGATACCATTCCACTATTTGTGTTCTGTGTATAGTGTTTGGTGTAGGCAATAGAACCTAACGTGTCTATCGGAATCAAAAGGTATGACATTTACTAAAAGAAGAATATACAAATATAAGTTTAAATAATGCATTTAGATGGCAAGGTTTTGGAGGATGTTTGTTTTAAAATATTCCTTGATTGGATTCGTCATTTTGTTTTCATTTTTATTCAAGTTCAAGCAATGTTAGAAGAGGTGAAAGGCAAAAATGAAAGTATGTCCAAGGTAAGCCTTCGTTACAGTAGGCAGGTAGTGCTTATGGTGGTTCATTATCTGTTATTAATTCGTTTCATTGGTTGGAAGGGCAAAATGCCATGTTGTCGGGTACCTTAGGTATGAAACAAACCTATGCGTCTTGTGAGTCATGTGGGAACATAATGGGACATTACATGACACGCTGTGATATACTTCAAGTACTGTTTAAAGCGACATTGGACCACGCACACACGGTGATTGGAATGTACAGTTTCTTTTTTCTGCTTCAAATGTCCTTCATCATCACATGAATTCCACAAAAATATTGATGTCATTTTGCATATTATGCGTAGTTGATGTAATCTCAATATGTCATGATAAACATTTATTTGGTATAGAAATTATTATAGAATATATTTGTTAATTTGCTTAATTTCAGGATTTGAAGGAAATTGAGCAAAGGTTTGAAGCCCTTACCGCCATTCACACTGACAGAGAGACCAGAGAAAATAGTGGTTCAATAACATCTCAAGGTTGGTCTTTTTAACATGTACTGATATGCTTCCTTGCAACTGTTAGGTTTATCACTTATACACTTTTATTAACGCTTTCAGCGACTCTAGTGGAGGAAACTGGGTGTGTTCTGAAAACTTCTTCAGATTGTGACACCAGACAACTGCTCCTGTTGCCATGTCTCCATGCTGCCTGTAAACCCTGCATTGACCAGCTCCACCAGCAGAACATTGTGTGTTCATGTGGGCGAGACATCAACATGGTGGAGGAAAGTGGAACAGTCGACTTCGTGAGAAGAAATGAAATCACATTTGCAAAAGAAAAACCTGAATGTGAATACCAAACAGAACAATGCAAGGGGGACGTTGTACATCATTGTAAGACGTGCAACATATCTATGTGTGCTAATTGCACAACGAAACATGAGACGACAAGAGCAACCTCTGAACACACGGTTGTACTGGCTGAGGAGTTTAAGAAAATGCCAATTCGGGAACGACTAGGTCTCTCGACCTGTTCAACTCATCATCGTGAAGTTGTCAAATATTTTGACAAACAATGCAACACATCAGTTTGCGATGTGTGTATCAGAGGAGACCACGCCGACCATGGTATTAAAGCACTGGATGTAGCATTTAAAAAAACTGAAGAGAGTCTTGTTAACAAAGTTCGTCAGCACAAGGAGTATCTGGAGAAGATAAAGGACTCCTCCAGACAGCAACAGATCCGGGTTACAGAGCTGGAGGAAAGGGCAGATCAAGTGAAGAAGGAAATAGCTGATGTCCATACCAACCTTGCTCTGAGTTTGGTTCAAAGGTTAAAGCATCACATCCGGCAAATAGAAAATCAAGTAGAGGAAAACAGAAGTATTCTCCGGAAAGATATGGAATGTCTGGAAACCAGTAGCTCAGCTGTACTGACTACATTAGGTTATGCTGAAAGAGCCATGGCATCTACAACACACGCCCAATTCATGAATCTGTCATCTACCATTGTCAGCAAGATAGACGAAGACCTTCTCCGCTCTCTTCCCGAAGATTCAGTGAAGTCAAAGTCCATGAGTTTCATTCGTCAAGGACATAGAGCTCTTCACGAATTGGTTGAAATGTTTGGCACCTTCAGCACCTCTGACAAGGGCGTAGATGAACTAGATACCATGCCGACCATAACAGGTAATTTTCTTTCTTCATGTGGTATAACTTGAGTTCGTGTGTTTGAAATAATTATTTAATTCTAGCATAAATTTACAAAACATCGAAGTATCTTATATCAATTATAATTCGTTGAAAACCAAAACCACATAATGATATCTTTCTAGATCATGCTCACTATATATATTTTTTGTTATTGTATTTTCTAGACTTGCAAAATGAGATCGTCATTTTCAAAGATCAGGAAAAGGTAAATAAGAGAACAAACAACATGTTAAACTTTTCATTTTTTGTCTCAGATTTATTGTCTCTATGAATATACAATAAATAAATTATGGATTGATAAACATATGTAGTGCACATGTAATCCAACCATTCGTACATGACTTAAGGGGCAGTCGGGTAGCCTAGTGGTTAAAGCGTTCGCTCGTCACGCCGAAGACCCGGGTTCGATTCCCGACATGGGTACAATGTGTGAAGCCCATTTCTAGTGTCCCCCGCCGTGATATTGCTGGAATATTGCTAAAAGCGGCGTAAAACCATACTCACTCACCGTACATGACTTAAGTAAATGACTTCACTTTATGACGTTTTCCCAACAGATTTTCTCTTGTACAGTTGTAGTAAATATATTAGCATAACATGCTATGTCATGATTTTGTATGATAATACACGCCCCTTAAAATTTGCTTCTAAACTTAACATGTAACAAGCAAAGTCTCTATGACCCATCGCATTGTTATATTAGAATTTGTTTCTGTTTTTACATTAGGACTTCAAAATGGAGAGGAAACGTTTGATGGAAGTCTTAAAGGACAACCAGGAATCACTAGGTAAGATTCATTGTGTTAATTCAAGTGAAGTGACTGCTTATTTTTGCTGATGGTGTTAACAATTCTTCAATCATACACGGTCATCTAGTTAGTTGTAATGTGTTTTGTATTGCGATGATACTAATTTAGTTTCGTGTTCAAGTGTGACTTTCAGATGTGAGGATAGGAGTGCCATCCCTCACACCCTAACACCTCAACCCCCACAGGATACTGGAGATTTCTGATTTTTTCAATAATAATTTCAAGAATATAAACAGGTTTCCGTGGAATTCATTACTTGATAAGAGGAAGACGAAGAACTCCAAACAACTAATCATAACTCAGATGTTAGAATCTGTTATAAATAACATACTTCCTCTGGGGCCAAGCTCGATGTGTCATGTCGACATGCAGTCTAGGATGCAGATGACTGCACATTGCCATGTAAAATACCTAGAGAAATATCGATGCTTTGGTACTTGCCAACGTACGAGTTATTGTAGTCATGAAATGATTCTGAAATACATTGAGTTTTCTCTTCTTTCAGGAATATACTTCCTGGATGCAGGAAAGATTGACTGGTCATCTATCCTTCAGTGTAAGTACATGCAACATATGTTACTGTTGTCATATCATGTCGTATGTGGTTGAAGTTTACATGGTAACACATAAATACCTCACTTTAGTTCTAAGTGGAGGTAGGGCTAAAATATAGCCTCACTCTGTTGATTAGGGAAGGCAGGGATACAATATAGCCTTCCTCCATTTTCTTCTTCTTCTTTTTTTTTTTTTTGGGGGGGGGGGCCTACAATATTCCCCAACTCCATTAATTAGGGGAGGCAGGGCTACAGTATATCCTTATTTCATTAATCAAGGGAGGCAGGGCTGCAAGATACCCTTATTTCATACATCAGGGGAGGCAGGGCTGTAATATACCCTTATTTCATTAAATAGGGGACGCGGGACTACAATATACCTTTATTTCATTTATTAGGGGAGACAGGGCTGCAATATACCCTTATTTCATTAATTAGGGGAAGCAGGACTACAACATATCCTTATTTCATACATCAGGGGAGGCAGGGCTGCAATATACCATTATTTCATTCATTAGGGAGGTATGTCCGCAAGATACCCTTATTTCATACATCAGGGGAGGCAGGGCTGCAATATACCATTATTTCATTAATTAGGGGAAGCAGGACTACAACATATCCTTATTTCATTCATTAGGGGAGGCAGGGCTGCAATATACCATTATTTCATTCATTAGGGAGGTATGTCCGCAAGATACCCTTATTTCATACATCCAAGTAAGGTTCCTGAAAACCTCAATTTACTGATACCCTTATTTCATTAATGAGGGGAAGCAGGGCTGCAAGATAACCTTATTTCATTAATTAGAGGAGGCATGGCTGCAAGATACCCTTATTTCCTTAATCTGGGGAGGCAGGGCTGCAATATACCCTTATTTCATGAATTAGGGGGAAGCAGGGCTACAATATACCCTTATTTCATTAATTAGGGAAGGCAGGGCTACAACATACCCTTATTTCATTCATAAGGGGAGACACGGCTGCAATATACCCTTATTTCATTAATTAGGGGAAGAATGGCTGCCATATACCCTTATTTCATTCATTAGGGGAGGCAGGGCTGCAAAATACAATTATTTCATTCATTAGGGAGGCATGTCTGCAAGATACCCTTATTTCATACATCAGGGGAGGCAGGGCTACAAGATACCCTTATTTCATTAATTAGGGGAAGCAGGGCTACAATATACCCTTATTTCATTTATTAGGGGGAAGCAGGGCTACAACATACCCTTATTTCATTAATTAGGGGAGGCAGGGCTGCAAGATACCCTTATTTTATTAATCAGGGGAGGCAGGGCTCCAAGATACCCTTATTTCATTAATCAGGGGTTGGTTGGCTGGTTGGTTGGTTGTTTAACGCCGCACTCAGCAATATTCCAGCTATATGATGGTGGTCTGTAAATAATCGAGTCTGGACCAGATAATCCAGTGATTGACATCATGAGCATCGATCCACGCAATTGGGATCGATGACATGCATCAACCAAGTCAGCGAGTCTGACCACCCGATCCCGTTAGTCGCCATTTACGACAAGCATAGTCACCTTTTACGGTAAGCTTGGGTTGCTGAAGACCTATTCTACCCCAGAATCTTCACGGGGCCATTCAATGGGGGAGGCAGGGCTACAAGATCCCCGTATTTCATTAAATAGGGGAAGCAGGACTACAGCATACCCTTATTTCATTAATCAGGGAGTGCAGGGCTACAAGATCCCCTCCCTCCATTTATTAGCGGAGGCAGAGCTACACTATACCAGATAGGCGGGGTGGGTATGTAAATTTTTACGCCGTGATGATCAGGTAATTTAGGTAAAACGTACACCATCCAGCTTGTGTCAAGTTAAGTGATGGGGATTTGATAATCAGCAGGCATACTATCTTCACGTGTTGAATGTTCGAATTCAGAGATCAGTGGAAATGGCTTTATATCCAAGTAATTTTCCTGAAAACCTCAA